CGGGATGGCCCTCCGCCTACACTGAAAAGAGAACAGACCACAGCCTTACTTACAGCCAGATGGCTGCCCAGGTACTCTGCTTGGGAGGTCAGCTTGCTTTCAAATTATCCCGCTCACTTGAGACTGTTAAAAAGGCTCCAGAATTATCAAAGCCATGTCACCACTGTTTCTAGAGTTGAAGTTCATAGTGCAATGAAAGTCTCATAAATGAAACTAGCAAAAGAGTTAAGATTATTTTGTTAAAATCTGGTAGATCCTGATGTAAATATGCCGATAAATTCTTAGAAACATGGCACACATGAAAGAGCTAAAACTATACTTTAAAAATAACAGAGTATGATTTAAGAATACTCAGACTAGAGGCTTCGGTGAGTTGTTTGAGGGAAAGGCGTGAAGTCAGGACTTAGATAGACAGATTATAAAGGAAGTCAAAGTAAGCAGAGGAAAAGGGTACCAAAATGACAGCTTCAGAATAAGAAGTAAGGGAATAAAGAAAACAAAGTTGTGTGTGTGTGTGTGTGTGCACGCATGCGTGCACATGTGCACGTATTATATGATAAATCCATGGAAAAAGGACTCACAATTTGCAAAGGAATAATTCATGGTCATACCACTTTCTGTGTCCAAAGCTAACTTGATTAGTATCAGAAGGAAAGTCAATGTTTAAACAGTCCTTCCCACATCTGCTACTTCCATAATGCCTATGCAACTGTCATAAATTAAGAGTAGAGAAGGGCACAGGGCCCATTGTCAAAACAAACAGGCAATTCTGGGTTCCAAGTTTCATATGATTTTCCTTGAGCCTAGAGTCGTGAAGACTCCTTGTCCTAACGTGGCCCACTCTAGCACTGTAATGGGATAACCCACTCACCTGGATCCTGGCCACAGCCCTGCCCTCTGTGGCAAGGAACCTTGGCAGGGCTGGGTCATGAGAAAACCTTGTCTCTCTAATGATCCAGGCCTTGGGAAAAGAATATGAGCTCTTAATATTAAGTGATTATAGCTAGTGACACTAAAAGAAAACCAACACCATTAACTGCAAGGGGTTTACATTGAGTGATGTCTTCTGTATTATTCAAAGTTGTCTATTCTGCATAAAAATCTTCCTCACTGACTCTATTCCACACTCCTTCAGGCCAGCAACTATGTTTTGCACTTTCTGTACCTCATGTAGTTCAGAAAATCATGTCCATGGTTTTGCATCTCTTATTTCTTTGCTTCATAAGACCAGACCAACAAAAGGACCCAGACAGACTTGCCTGGCCAACTTTTGTTGTCTGTCCTTCCTGCTTCTCAATTCCATATGGTTCAGCCCTTCAGGTCAGACAGGTGCTGTCTCTTCCTCTTGCATAGTGGGGTATGCTTGTATCATCTGGTGATTAGGCCTTGAGCCTAAACTCAGTGCTACACCTTGCCAGAAAGCTCTATACTGTTGTTCAAAGCACTGGCCCAGCCAATAATGAGTGGTGCTTTGCTTCCCAGACCTATTGTCCTGTGTTTATTCATCATTCAGTGATGTCATGAGAAGGTCCAGGCAGGATTTAGAAATGTCCAGTGTCCCTGGTCTTACCAGCACTATAATCTCACTATAAACTGCAAATATACTTGTCTTTTAACAATGTCTTGGATACTTAGAGGTAATCTTAGATAGAGAAAGGAGATATGGCTGCCTCTCGTGTTCCCAGGACTCTGCCTGGTGGGATCCTCTCAACTCTGTGTCCCTTTTCGTCTTGTTCAACTTCCAACCTGCAGCATGGCCAGTGGTTGAGCCCCTTACAATCCTTGAAAGGCTTATCACCTTCAATAATGTCTATTACTGATGTTGGCTCTTTCTCTTAGATTTACTCTGCCCAGGAAAGCTGTTACTTAAAAGAATCACTTCAGATTCAGTGCCAGATGTCCTCAGCTAGGCCATGTCTATGGACTAGAACAGTGGAATTCATCTGAAGCTCCCTTTTACTTCATACGTCCTAAGTCAGTCTACTATAGCTCACTTTGTATAGCACTTGGGATGAATCATTTAGAATTAGGACTTCCATTTAGTCATTTAACAAATAATTATTGATCCTTTACTCAGTGCCAGGTATCAGTCTGGGTGCTGAGAATGCAACAGTCAACAAAACAATGTCCCTGAACTCAGAGACAGTGGCAGGAGACAGATAATGAGCATATAAACAAGTATATATCATTTAAGATAGTACTAATTGTTAGAAAATAAATCCACCTGTAAGGCTAGAGTGACTCAGCAGTTGAGTGCTATATAGATAGGGTTGCTCTGAAAGGTCTATGAGGAGGAAACATTTGAGCTGAGACTGAAAGATGAAAACTATTTGAGTGATGATCTTAGGGAAGACTCTTCCAGGCAGGAGAAAAGAATTTGCAAAAGCTTTGAAGCAGGAATGAGTTACGCATGTTCAAGGAACAGACAAAAGACTTAGTCCTTAGAACATAGAAAGCAAAGGAGAAAGTGTAAAAGATGATAATAGGAAAGATAGGCTGACACCCCAGGCTGACACCCAATCACAGAGCATCCTTTAGGGAATTTTAATCTAGGGAATGAGCTGTGGTTTTTGTTTTTTGAGATGGAGTCTCACTCTGTGACCGAGGCTAGAGTGCAGTTGTATGATCTTGGCTCACTGCAACCTCCACCTCCCAGGTTCAAGCGATTCTCCTGCCTCCGCCTCTGGAGTAGCTGGGATTACAGGTGCCCGCCACCACACCTGGCTGATTTTCGTATTTTTAGCAGAGATGGGGTTTCACCATGTTGATCAGGCTGGTCTTGAAATTCTGGCCTCAAATGATCCGCCCGCCGTGGCCTCCCAAAGTGCTGGGATTACAGGTGTGAGCCACTGTTCCTAGCCGAGCCATGTTTTTAACAGTTCACACTGGCTAGAGCAAAGAGAGCAGAATAAAGCTGGCAAGAAGGGAAGCTGAAGGCAGGTGGAGAAGCTGCTGCAGCAGTGCCTGTGGGAGCTGGTGTTGGCTTCTATCAGGGTGGCAGCAGGAGAGACAGTGAGGAATGGCCAGGTATAATTGGTATTTTGGTGATAGGATTAACAGGACTGGCTCATGGATAAGATATAGGGGAGGAGAAAGAAGACAAGCCAAGATTTTTGGCCTCAGTAGCTTGTGCAGAAAATCAGATACTTGTGTTCTCCCAGTTAAGTTTGGTATGTCTACTGGGCATTAAAGTGGAGACATTGAATGAATTGTTTAATATAGCAGTCTGAGGGAAAAAATTAGGGCTGAATATGTAAAACTGTGGGTCACTAGCTACTTCATCTGCTAGATTCCAAGGTCAAAATATACCGACCATATCGTCTTTCTAGACTCCTCACCACTTTATGATTATCAAAGCATCACTTGATAATTGTTAGACATGCAACTCTCTCGTATCCCAAATGGTTACAGTAATTGCTAATCTTTAGTTTCCAACCAGATGTTCTTATCTTTCCAGATGATTCATAAACTGTCTCTACATGCATTGTTTTCCAAGTCTCCTCACATTAGTTAATACTCATCTCCAGCCTCTTCATCCCCACTGCTTAAAACCCAGCTCACGATTTACATCCTCCAAGACACCTCCTGAGAAATGCTGCCCTCTCAGGGGATGATTTCATTTTGTTTCCTCATCAAATAGGCAGGCATGCCCCAACATGTGATCCTGAACCTTTCTTTGAATTCAATTGTTTAGAGTATCAAATGGAACTTCACACAGAAAAAAGGCTTATGAACTATAGTGGGTTTTTTTGTTTGTTTGTTTGTTTTTTTTTTTGTTTTTTTTTTTTTTTGATACTCTGTCACTCAGGCTGGAGTGTAGTGGTGCCAACATAGCTCACTGCAGCCTCAAACTCCTGGGCTCAAGCGATCCTCCCACCTCGGCTTCCTGAGTAGTTGGGACTGCAGGCATGCACCTCCATACCCAGCTGATTTTTAGATTTTTAATAGAGATGAGGTCTCCCTATGTTGCCCAGGTGGTCTCTAACTCCTAGGCTCAAGTGATCCTCCCACCTCAGCCTCCCAAAGTGCTCAGATTACAAGCGTGAGCCACTGCACTTGGCCATACATTACAGTTCTTATTTGATAAGCCAACAACAGCCCATTTACTCATTGAAAAGAGCTCTACAGTGTGGAGATTCAGAATCTGAAGTTCCAAGGTGAGTGGGGATGGTCTGGAGCCTTCTGCTGCAACAAGGAGATAAGGTCTCCATGGCAGGACCTGTGTCCACAAGTGGGCATTAACTCTGGTAGAATAGGAGCTACAGCTCTTCTTCCCAAATACAATTTTCAAATTACCTCATTTCTCTGGGTTCACTTGCATTATTATTATGGGAACTAGATTTCCATATCCATCAAGGTGGTTGTTTTTCACCTGGGTAGAATGGCCATGGTTTGAAAATGCAACCATCACATAGCATGAAAAGACTGGGGGCACTTTGCGGCAAAAATAAAAGGTGTTAATATGCTAGAGAAAGCCACCTTTGTACATTTTGCATTGATGTTTGTGAGGACCCTTCACCACATGCAAGGGAGAAGGCCAACTTAGAACAAAGCAAGTAGACAAAACCTTGCTAAAGAAAAAATTTAGGGAACAATTCTACCATTTAGAAATGGCCCAGAGATAGCATTAATAACTAGGTGATGATTTACAAAGTTCAATGAATATCAGTTTACGTGATAAGAAATGAAGACAAATCTATCATTCTATCTATCAATCTACCTACTTATGTATTAGATGGTCAAAACTGGTATTATATTGCTTTTGAATATTTAGAGATAATTTTCTATCCAGGTTTTTAAAAATGAATCATTATACCATCCCATTAATGATCAGTCTGCAGTTGTCAACTCTCAAAGTAAGATTGTTCATTTAAGAATATTTGAGGGCCACCCATTTATAGTACATTTATTAAAGGCACCAATTTGAAAAAGCAATTGAAGTCAAATATGAAATTTATTTTGTGTTCTTATTGAAATCATAAAGAAGAGAATATTCTTACCAGTTGCCTTTTGGATTTATGAACTGCTGCACTGCATAGCCAAACTGTTCACTTGAAGGACCGGAAAATATTTTTGCTTCTGGGAGACCAACGTTGTATGCCAAACAACAATTTAAAATGCCTATTAAGAAAAATATGAAACAGCACATATTTACAATTCATAAATATAAATGTGCCATATAATTCTCGAAGGCCATTTTTAAGAAAACTTGCTTGACCTAATAATTATTACTTATCAACGATTACCCAGAAAAAGTAACTACTGCTTTTTAAGTACTTATTTGGAGGCCTGGCACCAAGCTAAATACTATATATGCATAATTCATTATATTATTAATCTCTTCATGGCAACCCTAGAAGATAGTTACTAATATTATCTTTGTTTTTGTAGAGAATTTTGAGATTCCAGGGGATAAGCATATCTCACAGCTGGAAAGAGGTAAGGATGAAGGCAAAATTTGAACACAAGACTTAAAATCACTAAATTACTTCTAAGTATTCTTAAGTAATTTAAGTTATATTTGTCTTTCCCAAAACAACAAGCCTCTGAGCCACCCAAGGACAAGGGCTGAAGAGTATCATCTATTTATTCTGAATCACCTTGAATATCTTGACATGGACTCTATATGAAATATCTGTTGAAAAGACATTGATGACTACATCAAAGGAGACAGAAAATCACAGCTCGTTGAAAATTGTATCATTTTCTTTCAGAAGGGATCATTATCATTTTTGAGGATGAAAATGTAGGGATTGGTGTCATATCTTTTCTATTCCAGTGGGAACTGTCAAAAGTGGTTTTGTTTTTGATGCTTCTTTCTGAATGATTAAGAAATGCTAATCATTTCAAAAAACAGAACAAAGACCAAGGCAGACAAAGCCTTGATAGACTTTATTTTTTTTTTAATTCTTATTTCTCATGGAAAGGAAGTGAAGGAAAGGATAAGGTAAATCATGTTTCTCTGTCTGGCACTGACAGCATTAATGCTGCCAGCTCTTCATCCTACAGAAAGAAGGTTGTGTGTATATTAATGCTCTCTCTGGAGATGGGAATGTGCCTCATGTTGCTTAAGATCAATATTTACCTTCGCAGACACTGAAGACAGAATGGACTCTTTAAAATTGACATCAAAGTTCTATTAAAATGTGCTGTCACAAAGAAATGTCCTACTTTCTAGGCAGCATTACAAGTGCACAGTGTTTCATATGTCTATTGTTTTAGGCACTAAAATGTCAGAAGAAAAAGGCTTGCTCTTCCATTGGGCCTCTGCATTTCTGGGAGCAGATTCTGTAGAGTGCTCCGAAAGGATAATGAAGTCAGTGATAAAGCAACAGGGATTTAAAGTAGTTAACGTGCCTCTGTAAGTGCCCAAATCACTCTACCAGGGATTTGTCCACACAAGGAGTTCAGCTCTTTATTTCTTACAAATAATGTGCTGCCATGAAGAGAAATATAAATACTTATTCTGAAATACTCTATAGCAAAATCTACAAAGCTTAACATCTGCAAATTTTCTCCTTAACATCTATTTTTCATATGCACCATTGCTCCTTTTTATTTTTGAATAATAAAAAATGCAAAAGAAAATAACAGCAAATTAAGCAAAGAACCAGAATTGGCATGCAGAATACTGGTGTTTTCAATCAACATTTATCTTCACCCCATTGTGGAGAGCTCAATAAATGGTATTTGAATATGTTATCAATCATCCAACATACTAGCCTGGAGAGATGATGCCAAACTGCTTTCACTTTTAAAATACCTAATGCTGGAAAGGACACATGTGACTGTATATACAACGACCTCATTTTCCCCCATTAATTAGAACTGGGCAGATTATGTAATGACAGGAAATTATGATGGAGTTCATTTTATCATTTAGCAGTTCAATTTTATCACATATATAGGCATATATGTGTTACTATATATGCATATATGTATATTATTAACTTAGGTCTTGCCATTGAACTGAGAATAAAATCCAATTTCCTCACTGTAGATTCAAAGGTCCTTCATGATCGAGCCCTGGTGTATCTTTCTGACTTCACTTCCCACCACTCTCCTCCTCCATCCCTGTGTTCCAGTCACACTCACTTTCCTTCGGTTTTTTGAACACATGTAGCTCAGTCTGCTCATGCGCTTTGCAGCTGCCTGTTCCACTGCCTATAACATCCTCCCCCAACACGGCATGTTGGACTTTGCTCAAATAGGTTTCTGCTCTCCCTCTCCCCTCTGTGTAGCAGCAGCACCCTTCTTTATCACCGTATCACTACTGGAGCAATTATCCAAAATTATCTTATATATCCATATTATTTTGTCTGTGCCTACTAAAATGTAAGCTCCTTGAGAAGTCAAACCTTGTTTCTTTTATTCACTCTTACTTTCTCAGCACCTATGATAATTTTTTTAATAAAATGCATTTTAATTACTATGTGTTCTTCAATAATGATTTGGAATATAAAGAAAACTGGAGGGAAAAATTATTCATAATCTTTTCATTCTACTGTAAGTACAGTTAATTCAGATGTATTTCCTTCCAGTATTTTTCCTCTATTTAAATTATAATGTTTATTCCAAATTGTATCCTACTGTTTCTTAATGCTTATGTCTGCCTATGTCAGAATCATCCTGACTCATTTGCGTGCCACAACAATCCTGTGAAACAGCAAAACCAAGCTATTATTAACAAATTACAGATAAGGAAACTGAAACTCATGAAGGCTAAATGTCTTTCTTGTGCAATGTCACCCACTCTGAGTCTAGGTTTGGCTTATCTCTCAACTTTATTGTCCAGAATTTCTATTAATAAATGATCTGCTCATTTTTACTCACAAAGCATGTCCTTCGTTATCACCATCCCTTCATTTCATTGATACTAAATCTCCTCTTTTCTGCTACTTAAATCTTGCCCTTTATATCCTACCTCTTTTGATAAATCTGGACAATCTCAGGTCTCTATACTTTTCTCTTAATATGTATTTACAACTCAATTCTCTGTCATCATTTCACACTTGGCATATGATATCTAAATAGCTCATAAAAATTTAATGGAAGCATTCTGTCTAATTCAGCATCTATTTCTTCTTTGCAATCCCAATGCCTGTATCTTCTGATCTCTGTCCTCATAGCTCAACTGAATCATATGGATAATGAGAACCATATTTGGTTCACCTTGTTTCCTTCTCCCAAACCATGCCCATGTGTCTATACATACTTAAAAAATGGACCATTCAACATATGTTTATACAGCTCCTTTGTACCAGGAATTTTTTAAGGTACTGAGGATACTGCAAATAAATAAAACTAAACTCTCCCTGCTCTCTTTGCATTTCCATTATGGTAATTTTACTAAAAAGATGGCATCAAAATGTATAAGTGTTAAAATAAAGAGTGGTGAAAAGAGCCTTGAGCTCAGTATTGAGAAGAGGGTAAATCTAAGTTCAACAGTTTCACAGAGGAGGTAGCAATTAATCTGGATCTTGGAGGACAAGTTGGAATTCACTACATAAAGAGGAAGGCAAAGTTCATCCCAGGCACCAGAAACATCACGTTAAACAGGCCTAGGGTGTGAAAGAGAAGAGTATGGCAATGGTGAAAAGTCTGGCACAGAAAGTCATAGGTTGCTTCATTAATCTATACATTTCTAGTTCTCTATGAGATGCAGTGAGTCTTCAACTGACTTGGGCTTTGCCAGGAGCCTATTATCACCCACAGTATAAATCTTCCTTCTTTGTCCTCATGTGAATGCCTGGAAATGCAATAATTGCACAGCAAACTCAACATATTTAACAAAGGTGATCTTGTTATACATGTGTTGACTATAACCAGGCCAAAGTATTCCAGTAAATCTCACCAAAGCTTACACCAAATACAAACATTTTACTCATGTGGAGTTAACTAGTTTCCTCTATTTTCACACTATAAAGGAGATAATGTTTCATCCTAGATTATAACAGGCTGATTGCCATTTTAATATCCATAGGTAAACCAGATAATCAAATACAAGTTAACTACTGTAGATTTCTTATTTTTCTTAGAGTCTGAGGCAGGAGGATAGCTTGAATCCAGGAGTGCAAGACCATCCTTGGCAGCACAATGAGACATCATCTCTATAAAAAATAGACAATTAGGTGGGCATGGTGGTGCATGCCTGTAGTTCCAGCTACTAGGGAGGCTGAGATGAGAGGATTGCTTGAGTTCAGGAGGTCCAGACTGCAGTGAGTCATGAAGGCACCACTGCACTGCAGACTGGGTGACAGAGGTTCTGTCTCTAAATCAAATAAACAAAAATTTACAGGATCTCCTTTTCTGAGGATTCCTGACCATTTCTGAAATAATTTTTTTGGAAAAAATTTAATAATTAATTTTAATAAATATGAAATGTATTCTACTTTCTTCTGGAGCCTAATTTTAAGTTATAATTCAAAAGAGAAATATATGATTGGGGATTGAATATAGTTAACCTACTTGTGTTCTAAAAATGTAGCGAAGGCTAAGGATGGCAGCTCACACATGTAATCTCAATGGCCGACTGAGACAGGAGGATCATTTGAGCCCAGGAGTTCAAGGCTGCAGTGAACTGTGATTGTGCCACTGTACTTCAACCTGGGCAACAGAGTAAGACCCTGTCTCCAAAAAAAAAAAAAAAAAAGCAGTGAAACTCAGAAAGGAAAAAGTCTTTTAACAACAAGAGCATAAATAATGTATAAAACAAAACACGTTATTTTATATTCAACCACAAAAATTTGGCAAGGGAAGTTTATTGATGTCTATGATATCAGTGTCATAACTGAAGGATGCATTTTTTTAGTAAAGGGTGGCAAAAAAGGGTCTAACTTTTGTGGTCAATGCAAATTTGAGCATATCTATATACACTGAAGGGCCAGGGGTAGGGATGGGTTTTTCATAGAAGGGACTCATTTGCAAAAGGTGCCCAGGGACATACATAGGAAGAAATTCAGGTTAAGAGAAAAGAGTAAAGGCCAAAAGCAAGAGGTGAACTTGGGAAGAGAGGTGTGGTTTTGACATAGCTTCTCAGATTGCAATTTGGCCCATTCCTGAAGATGCATGCTGCACTTCTAGGGGGAACAATGTCTCCATTAAATATTGAATAAAAACAT